ACTCAAGTGCCTGGCTGAATCTCTTTGGCTTTTGCACTCTCAGCATGGGCATTTTTGAACTCACTGTTTGACTGATAGTTGAAAGTGTATGTCCTATTTGTTGTGAGGAAAAACACAACAGAACTAAGAGGAAAAAAATTTCAGCTTTGTTTCTAAAGATCAATAGCATAAGATTTTAACTTCATAGCCATTTGCTGTTCATCCCTCAGCTGGGTCAAGTCTCCTCATTATGTACCTACTGGAAATGTAATGGTGCTCTGCTCATTTGTGTCAGCTGGCTCTACAGCTTGCCACTTGTTTCTCCTAGATTGACCCATAAAACCCTATGTGGGCTGGGATTTGACAGTCCAAGATAACACACTTGACTTCTTGAGGTAGTCTTTCTTCTAATGGCAATCAGCTGACCAAGTTAAAGTACTCTGATTCTTACCTGCCTGTCTGCCTTCCTCTACTGATGAAGAATGTAAGGTGCTCTGTCCCTGGTTGTCCAAAGGCAAGGCTGGATCAAGCTCTGGGCAACCTGATCTTGTCCCTGTTCATTGCAGGAGACTTGGATTAGATGGCCTTCATGAGTCCCTTGCAACCGTAAGGATTCTATGATTTTATCATTTTGAGGCTGGAGCCAGGAGTGTGATGCCAAAGATTTTGGAAGGTCCACCCTCAGGGAGCTGTGACCTCTGCTTATATAAGCTGTATGTCTGTGCTCCAATGCCCCTCATTTGCTACTACCTCCCTCTCTTGTGAGATTGATCTAAAATAAAAATACACACTTATTTGTAAAGAGTTGTCTAATTTTGGCGGTATGTTAAGGCTTTGAGTGACTTTTTTCTTCAGTTAAGTTCCCAAGAGATGGGGCACAAATCTATGACCCTGAGGACTCAGCTCTTTTGGTGAAGTCAAACAAAACTCTGAGAAAGGCTAAGGGCATAAGTGCTATTTTCATCCATTACATGAGCTCCTTAAGAACTTTGAAAAGTTCATTCTATGTCCAAATTAATAATGCAGTGCTTGGCCCACAGCAAGGAGGCCAGCAGCAAACAGACAAACCCAATCTGGGCTATGATTTCACTGAGGTCATGTTAATCTGAAAAATGGATGAGTATGACTCTGTTTCACATACCAAGTTGTCTTCCAGCACTGCAGATGTACCTCTGTGTTGGAGGATTTCAGTGGCCAGGAGTCCTCTCCATCTTCCCTTTTCTCCCCCTTCATCTATTCGTGGCCTCCCACAGGCAGCACAAAGGTGAAAGAGGTGCCTCTGTCTTGAGTGTGGACATGCCCTAAATGTTCCTGGAGCTCTATTCCAGCTGAAGTTGTTCCCTGACTTAAATCTTGTCTTCTTTTCCATTCTCATTGTGACAATCAGGTGCTGAGAATAAGACTGCATTTGGAGGTGGCCAGTAACTATACACTCTTTTTTTGCTGTTGTTCCCTCTGAGTATAGAGCTAGAGGGAATGCATCTCTTGCAGTCAGCTTTGTCTTTTAATGCTTGATTTTGACACAAAGGATATGCATTTTATTCCTTAGTTTAGCATCTGTTCTAAAGCTATTGCTCTGTGTTTTGCAACTAGTATTCTCTGCAAAGAGCTGCATCTGTTGCTGTTTTCAACTGCAGTTTACTACCTACTTCGGGGACGTCCCTCTCAGTTTTCCAGAAGATATACTTAAGAACTGCAGTCAAAATGGATTGGTTCAGTCAAGCTCTGCAATTTAAACTGTTTGACTTCTCTGGTGCAACACACTAAGGTTGAGATGTAGATAAGACTAGAGGTTGCACTGTGGATGGCACAGTGTGAGCTGATATTAGATTCAGAATGACTGTAAAGTCAGATACAATTATGAGCTTCTTGTGCAAGATCTTTGCTGGTAGACAATCCAGTGTTGAAAGAATCACTCCTAATTTGCAATGAAGTAAGGAAGATCAGAGCAGCCATTTTGTCTGCCATATTTGTTGTTCCATGTGTAATTCCACAGGCCTCAGAGGGAAGATCTGCACCCTTAAAATGTTTATTGAAAGCTACATTCAGCAGTGGTTTCCTTCTAAACTTGGCTATGGGTTAGGAAGCAAATTCTGAATGTCATTCACCAAAGTATGTTATTAAAAACTGTGTGTTTATACTGAGAAGTACTTGTGGGTGAAGCACTCCTGAAGAATTTTAGCAAACCTCAGAAGTAACTTTAAGACCAAAGACATTGCGCTGAAGAATGCATTCAGGTATATTTTCCTACCTATCACAAGCAGATTGGATAAAGGCAAATATACTTATCTGGCTCAGCATGCTCTAAGAAGAAGTGGGTATGAATGCTGAGAATGTACCTTTTTGCCTTCCAATACAAAGGATGCAATCTGAACTCTTTTTAGCTTTGCTGCTTCTCCATTCTGGGACACTGTTGTATAATCAGTCACACTGGAAAAAAACAGATGCTGAGACTGAGGCTATACTACATAGTAAATCTAAGCATGCCTGATAGCCTTTCTTGGCCTGGGAACAAAATTGTCTTTGCTAGTAAACTGCTAGCTTGTTCTCTGATGTGAGCGTGGTCCTTTGAGGCTGCCACTTGCTCTGAACAATTCTGGGGCCTGATTTGGCAACTGGAGAATGCCAGGGACCATACTCAGTAGGCAGCTTGCTTGCTGCTACCCTGCTTAAGAGGCTGGTAGGCTGTGCTTTACCAGCTGGCCTGAATATATGAACATATGGCAACAATGGCCAAGTTTACTGACAAAGATATAGCCTGACAGTAATCTGGCATGGGGTGTGCATGTGCAATACTGAAATTTGGCATGGAACATTCTAGCTATTCAGTGACATGTGCAGATACGTCAGTTGAACTCCTGGGCTTTCATGACATGCTACCTTGAAGTAGAGAGACACTGAGGGACACTGAGGTCAAATTCTACCATGCTGGGTCTTGGGAACTCTCTAATGGGGTATGTGTGGAGTTGGCCTTTGCCAGCCTAAGATACTTGTAACTGAGAACAAATGCTGCCCCTGACTCTTGTAACAGTGAAAAAGGAAAATCATAACTAGAGTGAGTGATCCATTGTTCTGTCTCATTCCTAGTGGTTTTCCTATAGGCAAGAGCAGAGCTGGGGTGCTTTGCTCATGATGCCAAGTCAAAGGCTTGACTGTGCCATGCCTGCTGAAGCACCTGAGACAGGTTGTTAAAAATACCTGAACCTGATAAAACTAAGCTCAAGACTTCTGTTCAAAATGTTCATACCTTAACTTCCATAGCTGTGCACTTTGGTCTTGAGTATTTTGAAATACTGATGTAATCTAGTCAGAATTGCATTGCTATTTTATTATGGAACAGAGTATTTTGGAGGCCTGAAGGTAAGGAAGACTGTAGTATTCACAGGTGTATTTGTTTCCAGGTAGTGCTTGGTTCAGAAAGAAGTGAATGCCTGGGGCAAGTATCTGAGCACAATTTCAAAGAGGCATTGTCATTTCTTTGGTATTGATGACACAAGGAGCCAAAGGAGCAAGACCAAGGTGAGCACAGGAGTTGCGCTGGGACAGGGAGCCTGTGTGAACTGGTAAGAAGAGATAAGGGGAATGAACTTAGCATAGATGCTACAGTGGTATTGCCTTTGTGGTATCTCACTCTTAACCAAACATTGCCTGATGCCAAACTGGAGGACCAGGATGCCAGGCTGAATATGAGAAACAAGCTATGAGCTGGTAATGAGAAGTAAGAGACTGTAGTAGGCTGCAGCCAGAGTAAGAAGGAGGCTTTGTGTGCAATTTATGGTTCAGACATTCATTTGTCATCTGTTTGGCCTTCAAGCTGAGTGGGACTGTTTCAAGTGGAGAAGATGAGGCTCAGGGGAGATCTTATTGCCCTCTACAACTGCCTGAAAGGAGGTTGTAGTGGGGTGGGTGCTGGCCTCTTATCCTGGGTAACTAGTGATAGGATGAGAGAGAATGGCCTCATATTGTACTAGGGAAGATTCATGTTGGATATTAGGAAAAAATTATCCTAAGGAGCGGTGAGGCACTGGAATGGGCTGCCCAGAGAGGTAGTGAAGTCACCATCCCAGGAGGTGTTCAAGAAATGTGCAGATGAGGTACTCTGAGGAACATGATTTAGTGGGCAATATTGGTGGTAGATGGACAGTTGGACTAGATGGTCTTAGAGGTCTTTTCCGACCTTTATCATTCTATTACTCTAAGGGACAGGGTCCATTTTCTGTGCACACACCTCAGTGATGTGCTAGGTTTACTGCAGCTCGGCAGTGACTCATGACAGCTGCAGGTCTCTGGGCTCTTGCAATAATCCACTGACCAGAAGAAGGCTTTTCCTGCGAGGAGGCTTGATTCTGTGTCTTGCACCCATGCAGACCAGACAGAAATCTCCATGAATGGCTGTGGACTAATGCTTCTGAGCTATTTTTTCTTGCATAACAGCCACTTTTTTCTAGTTCTCTCACTTCTTTTGCACATTATGTCATTTCACAAGTAAATTAACCTGGTTTGCAATAAATTATAATTTACATATGGTTCTTAAAACGCAATAAAGCAACATGGAACTGTGATCAGGATTTGTGATAATTAAATAGTTGAACTTCATTCTTCTTACAGGGCTACAGGGTCAAACTAGATGTGCAGTAGTTGTTTGAGTCTTTCTGTCATCTTTCTTGCTTTCCAGTTCAGTATTTTTCTTCTGCTGAGATCTTTATGTCTCTATGAATTTCTACACCATTTAAATACAGCATAAAGAATGGGTAATCCATATTGTGGGTGCAAGCTATTATCATGGTCCTTCTGCACATAGTGTCATCCATGATATCATCAGTTTATCCAGATGTGATAAGAAACCAGACTGCATTCTAACATATTATGAATTTGCATAATTTGAGTAATGCTTGTCTAATTCTCAAATCATTGTAAATTGATTTATGTTCTCACTATAAACTTCTTGTTTGCCCCTTCCTCCCCCAGTCTTCATGTCAACTGTGAATATAATTAATGTTTTTTTCTACTTCTGCTTCCAGATAACTGCTGAAAATTTTAAACAAACCAGAGCTCTGGCAGGACCCTGCTAGACGCTTCGTCCAAACATATCATCTTACAACTCAGATAAAAGGATCTGCTGGATTTTCTTTTGGCTGAGATAAGACATTTGTATTCATTGAAACCAATGTTAATGTGAGTAGAAAGAACTGAGATCTAAATTAGATAGATAAGTCATTAAAATGAGGTTATTTTCAAGACAGAACAGTATGAAAAATGGAGAGCGAGGGATGATTTGCATTGACTGTGGACTTTATTTCATGTTGGGTGGTGCTACCATAGTATGTGTTTGCAAGTCACTGAGTAGCAGGCAGTAGGAAGTGTTGGGTTTTGAAGACTCTTAAGTCGTCCATTCACTGAGAGCTGGAGGCAATTGGTCTGAGACATCTCCTTCTTGTCTTATTGGTGCATGCAGGAGTAAAAAGAGAACGAGAAGAAAAATAGACATCTGCCTCTCCACCAAATCAGATATGGGCTTTTATTTGGGTTTCTTTTTGACCCTCCCAACCATGTTCAGTTGACATATTTTCTGCTGCCATTTAAATATATTTGTAACAGTAAGACTTATAAAAAGAATAAATGAGACAATAAAATATATATTAAACAGTCAAATCTGGCAGATTAAAACAGTGAGGCAGTGCCCACACCCTGTCTTCACCTCACAGTCCAAAGCCACCGCTGAGTGCCTGGCAAGCTGCTCGAGTGGAAGTCACACAGAACACAGGCTTGGAAGGTTGTCCACTGCAAAGAGATGCATCTCAAAAAGGATTGCCTGTTTGGCCCTCAGATAGAGTTTTCTCCTTGTGGGAGGCAAGCTGCCTTTCATTTGTGCCTCTGTTCACATCTAATTGTGTCCTTTGCTCTGGGTCTGGTCCAAGGCCAACGGGAAGACTTTTGCTGGCTTCAGTCAGATTTTGGATCAACGTCTTTGTAGGGAATAGTTGGTAAAAAGACTGCGTGGAGGGCTATGAAGCGCTCATGCATGTTCTCTTTGAGCGTAATGGCATGCTGCTCTCTGAAGTGTTGCATGCGTGAGTACAGGGCAGAAAAAAAAAAAAAAAAAAAGGAAAAAGTGCTAAGCCAGGAGAAAGAGGGCAGGGGAACTCGATCCTGCATGAACTGGAGTGCAGCTGCATAGCCTTGAGCACTAATGTGCATAGTAGCAAAAGTGAGGCCCAAAAGGGGAACGCTTAACTAAGTGCCTCAGCAGCACTGAGAGATGCTTAAATGCATGTCTCTCCAGACATGCCTGCTGTGAGCCTGGGTGGGAGCATTAAGGGATCCTGAGATTTAGTGCTTTATGGTGAAAAGGACCAAAGCAGCGTTTAATGTGCACCTACACGCAAATCCCTGCTGGGACTGGCACCAGGACATTTCTCAGCACACGCAATGCTACGTGGCCATGGCTTTTCATGGGCTGGTGGATATTTTCTCACTTAGCAAACTCAGTGTTTCTGGAGGGGCTGATAATGTGAATTAAATTAATTTTTTTTTTTAAAAAACAGATAAATAGAGTAGGACAAACTACAGCCAAGTAAGATGCTGGGTAAATGTTTGTGTTGTATCATCAGTGGTGACGGAAAGAACCAAGAGACAAATGTGACCAGACAGTAAATATTATGGAACAAGCACTGGTGATCTCAAATATTTTGCATTTTTTCAAGGTATGAAGGGCAGCTACACACAGATGTAGAAGGAGAGCGAGGAAACACATCAGCAGGTAAGACTTCTACTTACCTCAGATCAATGGTGTATCTCAGAGTGGCAGGGTTGAGCACGGAATACATCCCCAATAGCTGCTTCTTCCTAGTAAGGAGCATATCTCTAAAAAATATTAACTGGAACCTCAGTAATGAACCCAGAAGCAAACAGTGGAAATTTCAAAGAGCATGGCACAACTGAGAATGAAACAAATTTGCTTATGGACTGAACCCAAACTGGAATTCTCCCATTCTGTGTTCAAGAAATCCATCTGGGATGCTTAAAGACAGCTGCCACAGACAGCAGGAAGAGTGAACTTCCTTTCCCCAGGCCCAGGGCTCACATGGTCCTTAGCCCAAGGGTGTAATGAAAGCTATGGAAACTGCACTGACAAATGTGATGATGTGGAAGGTTTCCCTGACTGAGAAACTTTTGACTGTGAATGAGCTCCATGGGGAAGCCTGACTCAGGCTCCGTAGAAAATGAGAGGGAAGCCAAGCAAATATGGAAAAGAAGGGGTAAAGAAATAACTAAAGATAGCATCTGAAAGAGGGAGAAAAAATTACAAGTAAACAGAAGAACTATGAATGAAGACCCAGCATTGAAAGATCGAGAAGTAATGGTTGCTTTCAAGTACGGTCTTTTTATTTAATTTTTGGCCATTTTAAGTCAAATTACTGAAGGCTGAACAGGCCATCTAGGAAAAACGTGCAGCTTTTTGGGACGATTTTTGATATTAGCCTATGTTTGGAATTTAAGATATTGACATGTTTTGTTGGCTCTATTATTTGGATGCTTGTATTCAACACATTCCTTCAGGCACTGTTTTGTCAGCAGTCATGAGGGTGATGTTTTCACGGCGTGTGTGTGTATGTGTGATCTACAGAGAAGGAAGAGGAGAAAGCATAGCTTTCCCCAAATAGGAGTCATGACCAACAGGCTTAGTAGGTTGAGGATTTAAAAAAAAAAAAAAAGTTTAATTTCCTTTCTTCCACTGGATGAGGACTGAGTGAAGTGTGACCAGCACAGGACCTACTAGGCAGCCTGGATTTTCCAGTCACTATTTTTACGATCCATGCTGAAATGAAAAATATGAATAGCTCATTACAGCTAATGAGATGAGGATATTCTTCTCAATGCTAGGAGTTTTCAGAGGGCAAGCAGGTCACTCACTCCTTGATGTATCCCTCCAGGCTGCTGCTGTGCCCCTGTTAGCTCGGCTTTTTATTGTGTCTTTGGAGTGCAGACGCTTCCCGGACAGACAACTGCACGAGGGCTGCTGATTTTCAACCAGGTAAGGTTCCCACAGCTTGAGCACAGGAAGATCCCCTTGAAGCTTTGATAAGAAGGACAGCAGGAATTTCCCAAAACACAGGAGATGTGCACACATATGTTTGCCCATCTGAAAACCATAGAGCAATTCCATACATGCTCAGTCATTACCTTTCCTATGCAACTCTTTCCAGAAATTTCTGAAGGTTTTAGCAAATGCAGCATTTGAAGTGAAGATTGAATCAGAGATCTGGGTGCTAGACATTAAAAATATTGTTGTTTGGAATGCCTGGTTAAGGGTTTCATTGCTAATTTCTGGCACACTACTAAGGTTGCAGGAGAAAGCTAGGACAAACTTTCAGCCTGGGAGAAGGGATGTGGTGGTTATTTGTTTATTCAGGAGTGTATCTGTGGTTTCCAAGAAAACCAATGGGGATGCACATGTGTATCTATGGGGAAGAATTCCCATCTCCTATGTAAAACACATCCTTCTTATTTTATGTTTACTGGGGACACAGCTCACCTGTCAAAATGCTTTGTGCTATTTCACTGTGATAGTCTCATCAGCAATAGGTGATTTAAACTTCTTTGGTATCATAGAATCACGGTTGAAAAAAACCTCTAAGATCACCCAGTCCAACTGTCCACCGACCACCAATATTTCCACACTAATCCATGTCCTTCAGTACAACATCTAAATGTTTCTTGAACACCTCTAGGGACAGTGACTCCACCCCCCCCCCTTGGCAGCCCATTCCAGTGCCTGATCACTCTTTTGGAGAAGAAATTTTTCCTAATATCCAACCTGAATCTCCCCTGGTGCAACTTCAGGCCATTCCTTCTTGTCCTATCACTAGTTATGCAGGACAAGAAGCCAACACCCACCCCACTACAACCTCCTTTCAAGTAGTTGTAGAGAGTGATAGGGTATCAGCTGAGAATTGGTGGTTGTTCAAATCAGGCAGCAGTCCATGTTGAATGCTGATTCCAGACATAAGAATCTGACTTCCCTAATACATTTGAAAGGCCTGGGCAGTGCGATGGATGTGATTTGCAAGCCAGCAGAGCCATTGCCTCTTGTGGATCACATCTAATGGCCTTTGTGACCAGACATTGCAACCCAAGCCTGCAAATCTGAAGAGCTCTTTTCTGGTCTGGATACTGTGGAAATATATTGAAATATATATTGAAAATATGAATTAAAAATAACCAGATAATGCTAGATGGGAGGCTTATAACCACTTTCTACTGAAAGTATCACATTTGTCTTGATAAAAAATAACAATGCAAGTAGAAATACAACAGGTGCTTCCAAATTGTAAGCAATGACACAGCTGAAGTAACAATGCATTTTTTCCCCATGAATTTAAAAATTCTTTGCTGGCCTTTTATTAAAGTTCAAATTAGACAACCTGTTAAACTACTCAGTGCTTCTACACTGTGCTCTAGAAAGGAGTATGCATTTTGAAAAAGAGTTTTTTTCTCTTAGTCAATCTGTTCAATCAGAGGCAGATTAATCCTTCAAAGGATTATTTAATCCTTTCAAGTGCTTTGTGGATGATCATGACCACTGTTACTTAACAAACTGCCTAAATTCACACCTTCTTGTGGAAATAGATAGTTACTTTAGACAGACCTAGTGACAGTTGGGTAGTTCACAGTAGAAGGAAGCTGAAGAAGTTTTGCCTAAGCTTTCTTTTCTTTTTCTCCTGTTTGTATTTATTTAACACAAACATCAGTTTGTATAAGCTTTATGTAATTGCACCTTGCTTTGCATTGCAGTGGCCTGCAAACATCACATTGCTGTGACTCAGCAGAGGACCTTTTTCTGGAGAGGCACTCCACCTGAGGTGTGTTATCTTTGTTATCTGTTCTTGACAGTTCCCTTGCAATCAGTGAAGTGTATTCTTTCAATTCGAGTAGCTTGTTTAAACTACTTATTGCTTAAGCTAATTTATTATTTAAGCTAATTTATGCTAATTTGAAGTACCCAAAATAACAGCTAACAACTTTCCCATAGATTTAATGAAAAATATTTACAGCATCAGACTGTAAATTAAATTTAAAGCCTTGGCAACAAATACGTGCAAATGTGTCAATAATGCTGCACAAACAGCACAAACTTTGCCTCTAGTAATATAATAAAAACATGCTTAGTTTCAATAAAACTGAATTCAATCACATTGAAACCATCAGGACAGAACGGGCTGAAAAACAATCCTTGATGCCACTGAGAGGAAACACTTGTATTTTTTTTTAATTCAAAGTAGAATGAAAAATTCTATATAGCCTTGAAATTATACTTTGAAATTATGAATAGCCATTGCAGAAAATTACGACGTGAGTGTATGTATTTGTTGGTGTTGACTTAGAGAGGTCTTTTGGCTCTTCAGCGGCTCACAGCTGGAAAATGTTTAGAGATAGGCAGTCTTATTAGCTTGTTATTAGTTTCTCCTATCATGTCTCATGGGTAACATCAAAAATACAATACTGCTTTATTCCCCTTTGTCACTCCATTAGATTTCCACTTAAACTGCCATTCTAGCATGAGCTCTTAAACAGAACTTTGATTTGCATCTCCTCCTGTACTATAGTAAAAACCGTAAGAAACATTACAAAAATACAAACATAGGTTTGAATTATGACCATTTTTAGATGATTCAATTAGCTGCTAATAGGTGTTCACAGAGGTATGTTGTAATGGGAAGTCAGGTTGTAGTTAATGGTTACCATAAGCTGGAACGGTGTTAAAAACAGCCATCCTGTTTAGCTCAGCCATACAATCAGAGCTCTGTCTTTGGAAGTTAGTGTGGAATACTGAATAGGCAGAACCTGGGCTTTTGCTGGTAATTTTATTACTTTTCCTCTAGTGCTCAGTTGATATGAATAGGAATGGCTCTAAAGAACCATGTAAAGAAGAGCCCTATTAACCCGTAACAATTCTCTTGAGGAATTTTGCATCCCTGTAGGGTGCTTGTTACTGCAATTATGTTTTCCATTATGGATTTTCTTTGGAATGTGCAATCCACGTACAAAAATCAGATAGCTGTGAGTATGACTTAGTTCATCGCCAACATAAAGAATGAGCCCGTTCATGGCTTAGGATTTTAGAACACAGGTAACCACGGCAGAAGGCTAGAGAAATGGAAAAGAGTCTTGTCATCTGATCTTTCCATCTGTGTTACAACTCAAAGATAATTTCACAATTCTGTCCAAACTCGTGCTACTGTATTACAGAATGTTCTTAGTCAGGATATTAAGTGACATCTGATTATGAAAAGGAAAGGATAATACAGGAAAAACATACAGTGTGCAGACAAGCCAAATATACAGTGGTATTAACCATTGCAGGCACGTTCACATATCAGCATGTGTAAGTAAAGCGGGGGAGTGTCTTGCAATATGTCTGGTATGTGGATCTGCTGATCCAACTAATTAATATTTATTTTTTGTATTATAGCATCGTCTAGAGACCTTAATTAAGGCTCCACTGGGCATATTTCTGTATGTGTATAGCAAAAGGCAGTCACTGACCCCAAAGAGCTCCCAGTCTATCCAGATGGCATAAATGAACAGGAAACTGAGACAGGAGCATAAGCTAACACTTCACCAAGGAGTTGCTGTGAGTGAACATTAAGTGAGGCAGCTGAGCTCCATCGATGATGCACAAAACGAACAAGGCATGTAAGAGAAGATGTGGTAGCAGATAATATGCTAAGTACTGATCCATGACAGGGGAAAGCTATAGTTCTCAGCTCTTTCCCAGGCAAGGCTGTGAGCGCAGAGGTCTATTTCTGGAAACAAACACCACTGCCCAGACTCCAGATGTAAACTGCATCCCTGTGTTGGAGAACTGCTGAATGCAAGGTCTGCTGATACACCAGAACCTCCAGACCTCTTAAACAGCATTCAGCAGTGAGAGAGCTTCTTTCTGAAGATGAGAAGAAGTTAGGTTGTTTCTCATCTCACATGGGAAAGACTGAGAGAATGGGGATAGGAAGGTCCCCATCCAGTCCTAGCAGTGCTCATTCTCCCTCCAGATATCATTCCTTCTCAAAGTCCCTTTACAGGAATGCAGACCTTGGGCAGCTGAGGAAAAACCAGTGGAGGACCTTACAAGCTGGAAAACATGAATATTGAGATAAAAAGCTAGTGAGTGAATCTTCCTGAGGCAAGAGGGAGAAGGCTGAGCAACATGCCTGAGAGGCAATTTGACAGGGAGGGGTTAGGCCTAATTAATCGTTGGGTTGAGGAGGTGGGTCAAGCGACAAGTGTTCTACTGAGCGTGCCTCAGGCTGAGTCTCCCTTTCAACACATGCTTTATTAATACTCAGAGAGCAGCGGCTCCCTGTATGGGGAAAGAGTGGCTTGGGAGTGGTGGAGTTCTTCTACTTCCTTTCCTTAAGCAAAAATGCCCCATGCAGGCAGACCAGAGGAGCTCCTCCAGTTAAAAGACATTCATAGGCAAATGTTTCAGCTGTGCTATTTTAAGCTACGAAGGGCCTTCCAATAAGTGACTGAGTTTGGTGAAATGCTGTTGTAAAGTAGGAAGATTTGTTAGGAAAAAAGAAGTAAGCTCTCTTAAGCTCTTCATTGCGATGATCATATGCAAAGCAGAAGGATATCATATACTGCTAATTTAAAGTCAGTGAGGCTCTGTTCCAAAGTGACTTAAGACAGTGTTGTTTTCTTCCATTGAAAAGCATAGGTTTGAGATGCATGTGCTTTGAAAGGTGCTGGTTCTTCAGTAAGGTGCTATTACAAGGCAGCTACTAATCTAGCCCCTATTGCTAGGGACTGGCAGAACTTCCATCCAGCCTGCTTGTCTGGCCAATATTTGAGATGCAAGCAAGCTATGTGTATGTGAAGCTGAACACTTCTGATTGAAAAGGAAAGCTGGTCTGCAATAGGTTGCATTTCCTCCAGCCTTTTGAGTGGCAGATAGAAAGAACTGGACCAAAGCTCTGAAGCAATAGCAAAGCTCCAGTCTGTTGGCAACAACTGGCTCAAATGAGCTGTGAATGCTTTCACCTACCTGAAGAAATAGAAGCAGCTGGAAGATCATTCTGCTCACTGATCCTGCAGTGAAACTGTTTCCTTCTAAATTTTTATGTGGGGACTTTTGGTCTTGTTGCTTCATCTCAGTGTCACTCAGCATGATTTTGGACTTAGTGATTTGGAAATGCTTTTGTAACTTGTAGGCTTACAGAGAACACAGAGCACTCTGGAAAGACTTCATGGGAGCATGTGGAGATTTTCAGAACAAAACCCAAGAAAGTAGTTTAGCTCTGTGAATGCTGAGAGAATCCCTTACAGCTCAGCAAACTCCACAATTGGTTTCATGAGGGATATCAAAGCACTAGATGCTTGGAGGAAAGCAACTGAAAGGGTGAAAAGAAACAGAAAACCCTCAAGATAGCAACAAATGTCAGGGAAGTTCTACTTATTTAGCCTTCAAACAAATCACTTGTCACAGGCTGAAGCTACCTAAGGAGGATCAATAACGGAGAATGAGGTATTACGTAGTTCAATAGGCATAGACGTAACAGAATGTGTTGGCCAGGAGTTGAAGCTAAGCAGCTTCAAACTGATACACAGGTGTGCATTTTTAACTGTGAGAATAATTAACCATTGGAACAACTTACTAAGAATTGTGGTAGATTTTCCATGATTGCGTATTTATTGTGGTTGTTGTTCAACCACAGCTATTGAACTTGATGTATGAACTGCTTAGCATAATCTTACAGTCTACGTTGTTAAAGATGTCAGACAGAAAGATTTTAGCTAGTTCCTCTGGCCTTAACATCCAAGCATTTTTGTAGGATGTGGAAATTTATTTTCTCCATCCCAGCACAACAGCCACAGGCACTGACAGGGTTGCTGATGGTATTATGGAAAGGCTTGTAAGAGTCTGAGTCTCCAGGCATGCCAGCTCAAATCCAAACAGGCTAGACTGAGAGTGGACTGTATTGAGCACAGTGTTGAAACATAGGCTGCATTTAATCATCTTGCTCCTAGATGGGTGTGCCACCTGCAAACTGGAGCTAAGTAACCTGGATCTCGAAAGACAGCGTCATCCTTGTACAGTGGGTTTAGAGTGAAGTCCTCAGAAATGAAGTTGGCTTCACAGTGTTTGCTCTGTGTCATGCAGCCAGTGCTGCTGAAATAAAGCTACTTAGCTTTTGGTAGGAAGGATGGGGCATGGGGCACTAATGATCTTTGTTAGAAAAATAATAATTTCATGCTTGGGTCCCACTTGTTTGGACTTCATACCTTGTCTTTTTACACCAAAATCTCATTTATTGCCTTTTAAGGAGAACCCTCAGAGCTTTTGACATCCTTTGAGAGTACTAGAGGGAGACTAAAGGCTGTGGTGCTCATGCTGCCGTCTCATTTTACATATACACATATCTTCAGAGAGGTGATATTTGAAAGGGCAAATAGCAGAAAGTTTTTGAAAGCAAAACTGCACAAGATTACATCTTACAGCTCAGATTTTCCTTTGAAGCCAGAAAAATCTAATCAGCAAGAATCTGATGTTTTCTTTCAGTTGCCTACAGTGAGGAGAATTGTACTCAAATGAGCACTGCCTGTAAAATTGAACTCATGCCAATCTGAAGTAGTGATGGTGGGAGATGCTCTCATGAAAGCCTCTATCTGTCAGGCTGAATGCCTTTTAAGACACATTGGTCTTAGTGGCCGTCTAGAAATGCTGTGGGGCCACAGTAACAAAGTGGAGATTTCCCTTGAGGATCTAAAGCAAGCAAACCCACACATGCAGAAGCTCCCTCCTTTATTCCTTTGTGTTACATGAAGCCAAGGTCTTGGAGAAGAGTGGGAAAGACCTTCC